AGGAATACAATAGGCCGTCCTGCCTGCCTGTCAACGTATGTATTTATTTGCATACCTTCGTGCACTCTGTGTGCACAGACATGAAACGTCATCAGCACGTTCCATTACATTATTGTGGAGAATATTGAGAATATTTACGCTATTGAGCGAGAATAGACGGCATTATTATTGTAATATTATGTGCTTCGTACAGTAATCTTTTCTCGCTGGTGAATGAGACATGAAGTAATCTGACAGCATTGCATTCAGCCCTCATCGTGTCTCTGGTTAGCCTCTGTTCTGCCTGCGCGCATTCATGTGTTTTGGAGGAGGCGTGGCTTTGGAGAGTGATTTGCAGGGAGGGTGGGATCTTGCTTTCAAAGATACATTGCTATTGCTAGCCTCTCCAAATTTGCCTACCCAAACTTTAGGTGATATAATCTAAATATACCAATCTTCTTAAACTATCAAAATCTGTTTCTACCATAAATGTACTGATAACCTGTCATTAAAACAACCAGTACTCATATTGATCATACATACAAAGACAAAACACCGTTGTAACACACGACACTAAAATTATGAAACAAAACTATTTAAATCAAATATAATCACATTTGCTGTGTCATGCAGGGACTGTCTTTTACTGTTTTTTTTTTACCGTAAATTAATATGGTAATTCATAGTTTTACCTGCAAAAAAACGTATTTTACAGTAACATATGAAACAAAACTATTTAAATCAAATATAATCACATTTGCTGTGTCATGCAGGGACTGTCTTTTTACTGTTTTTTTTTTACCGTAAATTAATATGGTAATTCATAGTTTTACCTGCAAAAAAACGTATTTTACAGTAACGACATATAATGCAATGTTCAACCATTTACAGTTACAATTTTTTTTACAGTGTGAAATTAATTTGATGTGACCACAGGAATGTATCTGAAACTTAATACGTATCTTTTCCCAAAAAATTGGCCCACATGGAACATAAAAAAACTCATGCATGAAATAGTCTGAGGAATGTACATTGATAGCAGTGTCAAGGTAAGCACACACACACGTTTGGTTATGGTTGAGAGGTTTGGCCGTGTGAGCCGATTGGGTTACTTGAAAAAGATCAAACACAACAACACTGAGATTGCATTCTGCACCCTGAACAAAACATGGAAATCTAAAATATAAAGATCTAAAATGGCTCAGTATATGCTAAATTCATCATAAATTACTAAAATGGCTTTTACAAACTGACAGAGGCAAACTAAGAACAATCACTGTCCTACATTTAAATCCTTTAAGCAGTTTGAACAGTTAAACCACTTATACAGGAAATAGTTTAATTTCATGTGAAACAGAAGTTATTCTTCTGCACTCTGAATTGCTGGACAGCTTCCTATCTGTCAACTGACCTTGAGGCAGTGCGTGGGAGAAGTTGCTGTAACCCAAGACACTGTAGTCTTATATCTTCCCTCTTTTGACCTAGAATTTATTTTTGTCTGACTATTTTTCAGATTAGCACTGGCACAGCACCATCATTGTGCATCGCATTTAACCTCTAAACACACACACTTGCACGGTTGGTGTTCGCAGTCTAATAATGGACTACTGTTTGTGACTCTTCTTTTCTCTTTTTCGTTTGGGGATGCGCCATCAGACCATCCATTATTCTCAGGAACTGAACAATCATAGACTGTCACTCCCACGGCTTCTTACGCAAGCTCTCCGCCGCCGCCTGGGAGAGAGGCAGGAAATGTGAGCAGTGAGGTTCTGGTAAAATTGCTTGGTTTTTCAGAAAACAAGCAGCCTTTCAAGCCTGGGCAAAACAGATGAAACGAGAGAAACAAGCAGAGAATTTTTTCTTCTAAAACACATTCAGCAACTGAATCCACTATGTAGTACAGTTGTTTTCCATAGGTTAAATTCAAATTACTACCAGTGTTACTTTCATTTAAAGGGATAGTTCACACAAAAATGAATCATCTGTCATCTACTCACCCTCATGTCATTTCAAACCTGTATTACTTTCTGTTGTACTCACCCTCATGTCATTTCAAACCTGTATGACTTTATTTTTTTCTGCATAACATAAAATAGAAAAATAAACTTATTTTCAGACATTTTTCTAAATATCCTCAAAATCACACAGGCTGTTATCATAACATCTTGTAAAAAAAATAGCATTCAGTTCTGCTTCATTTGTCAGCGTAGGTCTCACATAAACATCACGACAATGAAACAATGAAAACGTAGTAATTGTGACTTGCTTGAGACTTGAGATTAATCACGTACAGTCTGTGGCCACAACAAAATGAAGTGATGAGCTTTTGAAAAAAGAATTATATATATGAGGCATGGACTCCACAAGCTGTAGAGAAACTATATGCATGTAGAAGTTTTGCCACAGCCAGAATATTTTGAAGTATTTTAATGATTTATTCAGATAAAAAGCTAAAGATTCTAATAGTTGAATGGTGCACTGATGGTGTTTAAAGCAGGCACAGTGTGCCGGATGTGCAGGTGCGCATCACAAGTTTCAGAGGCCCAGCAGCAAAACATGTGGCTGAGTGCTGTTGGTAATGGTGGAAGGGGTGGGTTTGTGCTCTTGTGAGAAGAGGTGTGTGTGTTTTTGAGGTATGTGTGTGAGAGGTTGCAGCATTTGTCTTGCTGTTTGGATAGACAAGGCAGAATAAAAGCATCCTTAGGGTCTCCTTAGGGTACCAAAAGGGCAAAAATACAAATATAAGCACCAAAAGTATATAAGATGTGTTTGTTTAGCTGGTGAAAATGACAAATAAAACCCTCTTGATCAGTATATTGACCGGTATAAGGCATGTTTTGTACACTTTCATGCTAGTTTTGGATGCCCACAGAGTTGCACTAGTCTTTAAATAAATCAATAAATAGCACTTTCATGCGCAATATGCATTTTAAAGTGCTCCACAGATCAATACATAAAATAGAAAAATATTATAAATACACACATACATACAACGCTAGCACTTTTCATACATAAGATGCAGTTCATAGAAAAATATTAGTAATAAACACGAAAATTAAAATAAGTAAAAAATGTAAAAAGAAAAACAAAATGAGGAAATAATAATAAGAATGACTTGAGAGACTTAAAATATCTTACTCAAAAATGAACTTAACGTTTCCTCTATCAACTCTCATCATTTATTTCTCTATCATCATTCTCATCATTATGCCATCATTCAAATCTCTGTATTGTTCTGCTGTATTATTCCCCCCAGCTTCATTTTTAATTGCACATTATTGCTCTCCCTCTCCATTCCTGCAAAAGCCAAACATAGTCATCAATCCCTTCCCTCACAATTCTCCATGCATTTTCCTTTGTCCTTTTTTCTTATCCCTATTAGATGCAACTTACAGAATAGAATTGAATTTTGTGGTTTCAGTGGTACTTATAGAAGCTGCTCCACTGTTAGAAATGGAAATGGGCAGCATCCTCCATTTGAAAAGGAAGCAGGAAAACCAGACGGTTTTGAATTTGATCCTATCCGACATCATACAGGAAAGTATGAAAATCAAATGAATATTCCACATACAAAGGCATTCAATTACTTTTGGTTCAAACTACAAACCACAGCTAGAATCAGGTGAGCATGAAGCATCAGTTGGTACATTCCCCAGTGCCCCCTTTGAATTGCAAATTAATATAGAGGAAACACTGCATCATAGTTTAGTGCACGTCGTTTCTGTGTGACAAAAAAAAAACATATCAACCATTAAAAATACAGATAATATGAGCACTTGGCAAAGGCATAAGAGTTCAATACTGGAGCCTTTTGGATCTTACATTGAAAGGCCACACTTCTGTTGCTGGAGTAAATGAATGTATTTCCTTTTTTATTATTAACTTAATTGTCACATGGCCCCTTTTTTTAATTCTATCATTTAAAAAAAAATGTTTTTGGTCCATACAATTGAAAACAATGGAAACCAAAAGTGCTTGGTTACCAACATCCTTTAAAATATCTTATTCTTATGTTCCACAGAAAAAAGGAACATGCTTTAATTAATTAAAACAGGTGCTTAAAGTCAGACCAGTTAGTTTGCAAGACTGAAACTGCAAGGCCAATGGATTGAGGAAGTACAGTATCTTAAGCATCACCATTCCTGGGTAGAAAAGCACTATCTGATCCCAAAAAGCAAACAACAAATAGTGATAATATGCTCACTATGTGCTGTAGTACTGCTGATACAGGAATACTACACTATAATTTCATATAGGAAACTACACTATAAGCCCGGAGACTTAAGCTTAGCTTAAATATATACTATAATATTCTCAATTGGAATAGAGTAGAGGCTTGGGCCCAGAAACAGTATTTGATACCCCACAAGTCAGGACTTTTTTTTAATGTGATGTTTTGTTGTATTCTGTATTATCACTGTATGCTCATGTTCACGTTCTCTGCAATATGTGCAGAATATCATACTACCATACTAAACTTATAATATTGCCGCAGGCCTAGTAGCTAACCTACAGCTGTAAAAGCATCAGTGCTTCCTCTATGAACTGAATACCTGTGTGCACTAGAATGATGACTTATAATAACGTAATGACTTATTTTAAAACATCGTTGAAACGGTACTATATTATTAGTATCTATTTTAATGTCATGTGTGACAAGCCAAACCATTTTTAAAAAACTTTATCCGAAGAAGTGCTGTCGATCATATCTTCCTTTTCGAGGATGGGAGTTTCAGACCTGAGTGGGATGTCAGCGCCCCCTCCAGGACTTCACTGAGAAACACAGCGGAGGGGAAGCTGTTACAACAAAAACGTTCAATCAAGGCTTTTCTTGTTACAACTGGGCACAGAAGGTTTACGGTGTCAATTAGGCAGAATCTCGGTAGAGGAGTTGACACACATGAACATTTCAATATATAGGGCCTTCTGGGTTCTGATTTCTTAAAGTGGCTTCAAACTGGGTTTTCTGGGATGGTCCTTTCAGTATTTCTCGATCTGTAGGTGGCAGTATTAAACTGAGTGAACTCCACAGTATACAAACTTTTTGGGAACAAGAATTATGGACGTGTCCCGCTACCGAGATTGAAATGTAAACCTTCCTCTCTTTGCCTTTTTATAATAATTAACATAATACCTTTGATTTACATAGTTGTTGTTGTTGCTGCTTTTGTTGTCAACATTGATAATAATAAGAAATGTTTCTTGAGCACCAAATCAGCATATTAAAATGTTTTCTGAAGGATCATGTGACACTGAAGACTGGAGTAATTATGCTGAAAATTAGCTTTGTCATTTGTGTGTGTGTGTGTGTGTGTGTGTGTGTGTGTGTGTGTCTGTGTGTACTGGTTTATATATTTTGGTGGGGACTTAAACCTGACTACACACAGACTCATGGGGACTCGTGTCACGGTGGGGACCTAAAA